GATCTGTTACCACGTTCTCCATCCCTACGTAATAGCCATACCTGTCAAAAGAAAAAATAACTCAGTCTGGCTAAGAACATTAACTATTTATAATTATATATATATATATATATATATATATATATAATTAATAAAAGCTACAGACAGATATAAAGTTTTGGTTTTTCCCTCAAAGCAACCTTTTCAGAGTAAGAAAAAACAACAACACATAATTGGCATTCTAGTTCTTCTACAAACTTGATAGAAGTGTAAATGAGAATGCACTAATTTAAAGGGGCCATAAAACCTAAAATTTGTGATAGAATTCATATAAACTGCAAATATTTTATTTTGACATTCCTCTTAATTTATCCATCTTAAGTTAAAAAACAGAGGCATGTTTGTTTGTTTGTTTTGAATTTCGCGCAAAGCTACACGAGGGCTATCTGCGCTAGCCATCCCTAATTTAGCAGTGTAAGACTAGAGGGAAGGCAGCTAGTCATCACCACCCACCACCAACTCTTGGGCTACTCTTTTACCAACGATTAGAGGGATTGACTGTCACATTATAACGCCCCCACGACTGAAAGGGCAAGCATGTTTGGTGTGAGAGGGATTCGAACCCGCGACCCTCAGATTACGAGTTGAGTGCCTTAACCACCTGGCCATGCCGGGCCCAGAGGCACGTAAAACCAGAACTTAAGATCTGTTTTGTCTCCCACAAGTTACTAACAAGAAACTGTTTGCCCAATACCAGAATTCCTAAGATGGAATCAAAATATTCCCTGAAACAATATTTATGCATGTAGTGTAATACTTTAAAAGTTATGTTTAAATGTTGAACGTGGCAAATGTTGAACATTAGCAATCATTTCTATTTTTACACGTCCATAATTTTGAATCTGAAATGAACAAATTACAAGGGAAAAACATATGCAGTTTATGTTATTTTTTTATGATAAATTTTAGTCCTATTGGTTTCTAATGCTCCATCAACTTTTGCCATATAAACCATAACTTTTAATTGAATGAGACTTTAGAAATTTCCTTCAGTTATAATATTTATTTCTGGCAATATTTTGACTACTTTGATGAAGAATTAATTTGCCAAAAAGAACTATTTCAACATGAAATACGTCTGAAAGTTTCTCTGATATTATGTTCTGAGATGAAAGCAAACTAGATAAAAAAAACAAAAAAACACAGCTCACACATCAGGGGCACGAATGGCTTTGATAGTTCCAGCATAAAAAAGCCCATCATCCATTGTTAAGACTCGAAGCTGATCATTCAGATCTTCTGGTTGCAGGATGCAGGACCTGATTACTTTAAACAACATAAAAAAATTACAAAGCTTAATAGTACGAGTACTGTGAACAGTAATTATCAGGATGTAACCAATACACAAAAAACAGCATTAAGGAATAATCTACTATTAAAAAGTTGTCTATATTAACCCTGATGAAGCCGCAAAGGCGAAGCATTGGTTGAAATGAAAATATATTCTTTTATATTTATCTGGAGTGTAAAGGTCTAAACTTTTATCCAAATGTGTAAATCACTCAAGTGTGAACTACAAATTTTGCAAGACAGCATTAATGTAGTTTTATTACACAGATGTTATTTTAACCTTAAGTAATAAACCCATACCATGACTTGCAAAGAAGTAGCATTATTTTAAATAAATTATTACATGTAATAATATACAAGACACGATAACAAACCATTATGGAAATTGTAAAATAATCATACAAATTAATGTTAGTTAACAAAGTCCATATTATGTCCAACTGAAAATACCATAAGGCTAGATGCGTCCACAGTAAAGAATGTTTTAAAGTTAGAAAATCTCTTTGTATTATGACAGCTGTGACTGTCTGAGTCATTTGCTTGTGATAAAAAAATTTGGAAGTATGCATATACGTAAAATTATAGTGTAATTATATATTATATAGAGTACTAAATATGATACTGACAATACTTTTTTTATATGTTTCACATACTACTTAAACAACAGTACATTAGAACATCAGGAGTGTTGTTGAATACACAAGATAAACAGGATACTTTAAACAAACTAAACACCTTCACAGTGAAATGAATAGTATTGTCCTTCCAAGCATTCATTTCATGGGGCATGATGGGTGAAATAATCTTTATTTTTTATATGCCCTTAAACGATTTTAAATATCTAAGGTCAGATAATCTCTAACTGACTTGCGAAAGAAGAAAACTGTAAGAACAAAGAGTTCAACTGTAAAGATTACAGTAATTCCTAATATATCAAGAATTAGGTCTTACCATTCTATCATGTCTATATTCTCAGAATTTAAGTGTCAAGCTCAATTTTTTTTGCTAAAAATAAATAAATCTAAGTACAATGAACAATAATGAATAATTTTTGAAAAGGTTTAGTTTGTAAACAAACACAAAACATTACATTAATCATCATTAACATACAAATACACATTTTCTAAAAACTCTCCAAATTTATACTTTCTCACAGTCTAGATCTTTTAAGTGTTTTACTTTTTTTATATATAAATCTGCAATTTTTATGAAATCGTAAATGTTTTAATATTTAGTTTGTTTACATTCATACTTATTTCCTCCCTAAAAATATAAGTTGTGTGTTAAAGCTAATGCTTTACTTTTCCAACCAACCTGAGTTTGGTTTCTTTTCAATCAAAGCACTTAGGGGTAGATTCTCCCCTTCACTACTTTCAGCATTTTCCTGATCTGCAGGATGACTAGAAGTTGCCCATCCTTGGTTACTTTCACTCAATCGACATTTCTTTAAAGCAGCAAACAATTCATCTGTAACCAACTTTTCCTTTGTTTGCTGGATAAGTTTATAAAATATTTCAATGATAGATAACTTATGTCTTTAATCAAAATTTTTTGCAACAAAATGATAAAAGTATTTATTAAAGTTTCCTTGGAATTCATTGGGCAATGTATTCCTTTTACTTATTTTTGCAACAAAATGGTACTTTAACAGTAAACAGACATAATAAACTTTCTTAAAGCTTACGTTAAAACAATTCTTTAACTAAATGACTTAATAACACAATTTAAAGTAATAACGAATTACAAATGTAAACTGTATGATAAACATACTCACTGCTACTATAGTTAGTAGTGGCAATTTTCAGAACTATTTAAAACAAGTTGCAAAAATACGATGTTATTTCATTACAAACTGGAAGATTAATGTGTCAAAATAGCTTTCTTAACTGAATTTTTCCCTTACAAAATAAATAAAGTATGATGAATTTACTTCTTTTTTCCCATAATGCTTATACAGGTTGAAAACTCACTTGTTTCTTTGCTCCTTTAGTTTTGGTTTTGACTCTTTTGCTTGGTGATACTGAATTCTTTCTGGTCTTTCTTTTCTTTTTGGGTAGAGATGTTTCCTCAGGCTTGGAACTCTAACAAAGGGTACAAAATATACTACACTTTATTTTGAATAAACATTAAAAAAATATATGAATATATATGCATGAGTTGTACTTGATTAAAGAAACTAAAATAAGTCAATTTTCCTTCCATTAAACAGTAAAGTTGTCTTTTAAAAATAATAGGTAAATAATTGTGAAATATATTATGTTAAACAAAGATATACACTGAGTGGTCACAAGTAAATAGACACCTAATTTTTCATCATTTAATTGATTTATGATAACTAATTTGTGTTCACAAAGCACTATATAAATGAAAATGGTCCGCACACTAATTATCTTGTGCTACAACATGCCTAGAACTCAAGGTTCTCTCGAATTGTCAGATTTTGTTAGAGGAAGGATAATTGGTCAAGCAGATGGTGGAATAAGTCAGCGGCAAATTTCACAGAATTTGGGAATCCCACTTTAAACAGTCAACAGAATCATCGTGCAGTTCAGGAAACATGGAAAGGAAACAACTGAGCAGCGTCCGGGACGTCCTGGTCCATCGGAGAGGACAAAAAGGACTGTCAAGAGGAGCC